TCCTAAGATTGTTCGAGGTCCTGCTTTTTTTCTTATTAATAAAATTCTTTATTAATTAAAAAAAGCCTTAGTGGTTTGAAGCACCATATAATATTTTATGAAAATTTTACATAAATTTTACCCCGATCTGCAATATGTGTTTTCTGGCTGGTTGCGAATTAATTTTTTGTTAAATGATTATTATCCTGATGAATATATTTCGCAAAGTAAAAACTCGTAGAAGAATTAAAATAATTAGATAGATAAAGTATTAACGTTTTTATTAAAGATAAAATTATTCTAAATACAGGATAACTTTACAAGTAAATATCCCGCTTCTAAAAAGTTCCTTAGTTGGATCCTTTTTTATTTAAAAGGTCCATAATTTAATAATTTACAATCTTTAGTAACTACGTTAATCCTTTCTCGATTAATTTTTGCATCAATTTTTTCGTAAAATTTTTCTTTGAGAACAAAAACGTCTATATGATTTTTACCAAGACTAAAACCAGTATCTCCGATTTTAAAACATCCGTTATGAATTTTATTGTTGATTGGTAAGCGTAAGCCATCAAATTCTTTAAGATATATCTTAGTACCAGTTTTTAAATCATTAGCAGCAAGTGTTATAAATGGCTCAAGTGGATTACCAGTTTCTCCAGCTCCAAAAGGAAATTTCTTATTGTTGATAACTTCAAAACATTTATTAGAAGCGCCAATATTTACGACCCTTCTATCATTTAAAATACCCGTACCTTCCTAAAAATTATAAAAATAAAAAATAAAAAATAAAAATAAATAAAATTGTTAGAATTTTTTAAAAAAACTAATGTATAATAATAATTACAATATGGATATCTTTAGCAAATCTCGCGTTAACAAGAGCAATCCTTTTGTTGCTGCAAGTTTTGAGTTCGACTGTTTTAGGTCCAGGATAATTTGATTCAAACACAACCCAATAATAAGTTAATATGGCGTTTTTTTTTACCAATTTAACGCTTGGTTGACGGTTCTTAGCAATTGGAACAGAATATGTAAATTGGTGTTCCAATATTAACATGATGATTAAAAAAAATAGTGAAAATGCGTGAAAATTATTCATTTTTCTATTTAACGATTTGGATTTTTTAAAAAAAAAAAAAAAAAGGATCGAAATATAATACTACTAGTATTAGACAAAAAGGATTGAAAGGT